AGCCTGAGGCTTCTCTTCTCCTACCCATCCGATGTAATCGTTATGCTATGGATTTGTGTCCATCATGCATTGTGGACAGGCACCGTTATCTTTCACATTTTTTTTTTTTTAAATTTCAGATCGCTTCGTTATAGGGGTATATGTTCATAATTTTATCACTATATGTTCATAATTGTAAGTTCATAATGTCAGAGCTCTGTGTTCATAATTGCATAACTGTACATTCGTACTTCCATAATTGTATATTCACAGTTCTATAACTATACATTCATTATTCAATAACTGTAAATTCATAATTTTCGAAGCTCTATGTTCACAATTTTAGATCTCTATGTTCATAATTTTATCACTATATGTTCATATTGTAAGTTCATAATATCAGAGCTCTATGTTCATAATTCCATAACTTACATTCATAATTCCATAGCTGTACATTCATAATTTCATAAATGTACATTCATAATTCCATAACTGTACATTCATAATGTCACAAACGAATAACGCCGTTAACGGCGAGACAAAATTAATTTTTTCTTTTAACTAGAATGCCGTGTTTTCCCTGAAAACGACATCGTTTTGGACTCGTGTCCACAATGCATTGTGGACACGAGTCCACAACATAATTTGCGCATCCGATGTGGAATCAGATGGACAGGGGAAATAAGGGGGCGTTAAGCTCCCCTTTTAATGAGGGAGCTCAACGCTCTCTTTTTATTTTCTTTAAGATCTATATCACTTTTTGTTTAATTTTTTTTTTATATTATTATTATTGTTATTATTACTACTACTACTCTCACCACTACTATTACTATTACTACTACTACTATTATGAATACTCTTTTGTATCTTTTACCAATTAATCGTGAACATTAAACAACTAAATTTATCAAACATCATTTTATAAACCGCTAATGTTTGTACTCGCAAACTTTTCTCAATACACATATAATATTTGTACTCCGTAATAATTATGAAAATATCACTCTTTTTTTTTCATTGTTCACTTATTTCCATTCATTAAATCTCCCAGATCAATGGCTAGGAATTGTGCGCAATTTTGAGGAGAAGCTTTATTTTCATTAGGGGTCCGTTTGGAAAGCAGGAAAATGACTTCTGGAAAATAATTTCTGGAAAATGAGTCATTTTCCGGAAAACATTTTCCGTTTCCAGTGTTTGGTTACATTTGGAAAACTGTTTTGGTGTGTTTGGTACATTTTTTGGAAAATGAGTAGAATGGTATTATTAAATATTTTAATTATTTTATTTTAAATTAAAAATTCATTTTAAATCTTAAAAAAAAAAAAAACAAAAAAAAAAAAAAAAACAAAACAAAATTTTGATTTCCGGCGGAACCCGGTTCCGCCAGAAACCATAGCTATGGTTTATGACGGAACCCAGTTCCGCCGGAAACCATAGCCATGGTTTCCGGCGGAACCGGTTTCCGCCAGAAACCATACGGTATGGTTTCTGGCGGAAACCAGTTCCGCCGGAAACCATAGCTCTGGTTTCTGGCGGAATAGTTCTGCCAGATTTAAAAAAAAAAAAAAAATTGAAAGAGAAAGGCGGAAAACGACTTTCGCCCAAATTTGGCGGAAGTCATTTTCCGCCAAATTGGGCTCATTTTTCCCAGTCAACGGAAAATGGATTCCGTTGACTGGATTTTCCAGGTGTAGCCAAACACCAAAAACTCGAAAAATGACTTCCAGAAGTCATTTTTCGGGTTTCCAAACACAGCCTAGATTCAAATTCAAGCGCCGCACACAAAAATTTTCATTAATTACTTGTAAATTAATTTATATGACCACAAATTAATACTGAATTCACAAATAATAATTAAATTAAAAAATTCTACCTAATAATATGTTAATAATACCATGAAGTGATTTTTACCACTGGAAATATTAGATTCATTATATGTCAAATTGTGAGCATGTAAAAAGGCTACTATATATTTAAGATAGGCTTTGTTTGGTAACACAGTTAGCTTAACAATCAATTTTGACTTATTTGATCATTATTAGTTGTTTGATTTGATTAAACATTTAATATAAGTGTTTGATTAATTAGCTTTTTGTAGCAACTTATTGCTCCAAAATGCTAAAATTCAAAAAGTTGCTCAAAAAGTTCCTCCGAAGCTTTTCTGATAAGCTTTTTGAGAAAATTATTTGTTATGTAATTAGTTAACAGCTAATTTATCAAACATCTTTCTAAAATTAACTAATGCTATAAACTACTCAAACCTACGAACCCAATCAGCTAACAGCTAAAAGCTATTTATCAAACATCCCATAATATTTAATATAATTAAATGTTACTCAATAAATTTAAAACAATTATCTTTTCTCTTCTTGTTTTAATTAATTTATTTTTAAAAGTTCGAGATGGTATCATGTTACCAGCTCAAATTTGACTTACTTATAGATACTCTAAACGATGTAATAGTTAAAGAAACTTCCAAAATAAATGGTGGCATCTTATTTAGTAAATCATTATATATAAAATAAACCCACCAACTCTCTGCCTACCAACAAAACAGCATCATGAAATAATGGACCCTTTAGCCATTCGAATCCCTACACATACATGTAATGTGTTACCATTTTCAATTTTTTCTAGAATCTCATCCTCTTATTAATATTATGTTAGTGGTTGTTGCCTCTTTGTCCATTCTTCAAAAAATCAACTTTTTCAATTTAATCATTTTTTTTTTTTGGGGTGATACAATCATTTCTTTTAATTATCAAATTTTACTTTTTATATTTAATATACTTTTAATGCATATGGCTTTTAAATATCACTCGGTTTCATTTTGTACGCCTTATTTGTTAGTCCCATGGACGGAGCCAAAGGGGGCAGGGGGCTGGGGCCAGCTGATCCCTCTCTCATCCCGCTCCATATATAATAGTTGTGTGTATATATATATATATATATATATATATATATATATATATATATATATATATATATATATATATATATATATATAAAATACAAGTTTTAATACTAGTATAAAGAAATAGATAAATGTTAATAAAAAGTGAGATAGATCAGATTAGTTGACAGAGTATATGTTTGGTTATAGTGAAGGTCTAGAGTTTAAATCTTTTATAGTCATTAACACAATTTTACAATTTCTCTTGACACACACACACACATATAACATTCTTTTATATTAAAAATGAGATGTGTAATTTATAATGTGTTCTCTATTCAAATTATTTTATCAAATTAATTATGTTTCATATTTTGTTATGAATATTTTTAATAAAATTTCGATGTGTTTTATTTTTCGCCCATATCCAACAATATTTATACCTATATTTCTTGGATAAATTTTTTTTTTTTAAATTATCTCTTTTGTTTTAATATTTCGTCTTCACTCGAAAGAATTGATGGACATGTCCTTGCTTCTTCGTCCCCTCAACAAAATTCTTGGCTCCGTCCCTCAATCATATGTTAAACTAATTATTTATTCTTTGTTTAATTTATGATTTTTAATTTGTTCTTTTGTTGTAATAGAACTTTTGATATAGATTGTAAATATATAAAATTTATTCACTAATATTATACTCCGTATTGTAAAATTATTACTAAAAATTGAACTATAAATAGTAAGTCTTGTTATTCAAACGAGGCTTACAATTTTAGTAACATGTAATAATCTCCAAGAAATGCGAATATTGAAAAAATGATAATTATTGTTAATTATGGAAAAACAATTCATGATAAAGATAAGATACACTTGGTCCACAAAACCCATGCTTAAATCAAAATATTTTTTTAGAAAAAAATTGTAACTTATACTCTTCGCAAATATCATTCAAAAAAAAAATACTCTTCGCAAATATGTCAATTATAAATATCATTCTGAATTATTAATAGTGTAAATGTTGTCTCTAAATTTTCAAAATGTGACATATATTTCCCAATCCCTGAATTATTAGTGATGTAAATGTGGTTACCTGTCATTTTCCCTATTCGAAAACCATGTTTTTTTTCCTCCATTTTTCTTTCATCGTTTGTTCTCTTTTCGCGAACAACAATGTTTCTCCTTCTTCCTATTAGGGGAGGGGCAATACATGTCATGTTTTGAAAATTGAAAGAGAAACTTTTACACCACTAATAATTCAGAGATGATATTGATAATGGAGTAAATACCCAAAATGGTCCCTCGACTATAGCTAAATTCACAAATTGGTCTTTGACTTTCAATTTCAACCAATTTAGTCCTTAACTTTGCAATTTTGACACGATTTGGTCCTCCATCTATTTGACCGTTTGTTGACCGTGATCGACGATCTTCAGAAGAACCTTCAGCTCTCGTCGGAGCACGTGGAGGCCTCCAGGATGACGTTGCACCAGTTCGGAAACACGTCGTCTTCTTCGCTCTGGTACGAACTCAACTACATTGAATCCAAAGGGAGGATGAAGAAAGGCGACCGGATTTGGTAGATTGCTTTCGGCATTGGATTCGAATATAACAGTGCGGTCTGGAAATGCAACCGGAACCTTAAAAAATCGACTATGGATCATGAAAGTACATATATATCCTCAAAAATCACAGTCAACAAATGATCAAATAGACAGAGGACCAAATTGTGTTAAAATTACAAAGTTAAGGACTTAATTGGTTGAAATTGAAAGTCGATGACCAATTTGTGAATTTTTAGCTATAGTCGAGGGACCATTTTGGATATTTACTCTTGATAATGACTAATGAGCATATTTGTGAGGGCATCAAATACAAATTTTTAAAAAATATTCATTATTCTTTACAATGTAGTATTTGTTCTATACTTTTTCAATTATTTTCAGTTCAAAGAATCAATTACCCCACCGAATCATCGGTTTGAAATAGTAGAGGTGTGCATCATAGTTGGGGAAAATTAAAATATTTAAAGCACGGTTTTCATTTAAAAAAAAAAAAAAAAAGAAAAAGAAATGGATTCCATTGTTCTGTGGCATATCCATAAGTTAGACTCATACTGAGTAGTTTAATGCCATAAATAAACTTTTTTTAAAAAAATACAACGGAGAAAAAACAGAGTATATAATATAGTAATTTGATTTGAGCTTGTCTTGAGAAGTAGAGTAGAGTTTGATGAGAGAAGAATGGAGGGAGGCGAGGGGGGCTTGAGAGTGAGTAGCGCGCGGTTGAGTAGTTCGAACGTGTGGAGGAGCAGCGGCGTGGAGGTGTTCTCCAGGTCGTCGCGAGAAGCGGCGGAGGACGACGAAGAAGCCTTGAAATGGGCCGCCATAGAGAAGCTCCCCACATACCTTCGCATAAGGCGAGGCATTCTGGCGGCGGAGGAAGAAGGAGGAGGCCCCAAGGAGATCGACGTAGAGAAGCTCGGCGTGGCGGAGAAGAGGAGCCTTCTCGAGCGCCTCGTCAGGATCGCCCAGGAAGACAACGAGAGCTTCTTGCTCAAGCTCAAGCACCGCACTGACAGGTTTGTTCTAACATTTCATTTTTGTTTTGCGGTGAGGCCGGCAAAGGCCAAGTCTAACACCCGATAGCTGGTGGCTGGGAGATTGCTGGGCTGAGGATGGAAAATGTGATGATTTTATAAGGAAATAATTTTTTATTTTTTTTTTTGCTACTAACTATGACTTTTGACGGTTAGTGATAAGCGCTTGATCTTAACAATTTTTTCTCTTTTTTGTTTTGATTTGTTTTGGATGGTTTAGGGTGGGTATTGATCTTCCCACCATTGAAGTTCGGTTCGAGCATTTGAATGTTGATGCAGAAGCTTATGTCGGCAGCAGAGCACTTCCCACCATATTCAACTTCACTGCAAACATTTTAGAGGTAACTCAACTTCCTTCTGTGTTGTGCGGAGGTCGGTAAATGTCAAGTCCAGCATCATGTGACTAGAAGATTGTCATTAGTAAAAGGCAAAGTTCAACGCTGGTCCTTTTAAAAATGTGTAACAGTAGTCCACATGGACAGTTTAACTGGTCATATAGGTGAAAGTTGGAAAAAATAATCAGATATCAAGTCTCACCAACGGTAGTGTGGAGGGCTCCTTGTGCGCAGTAAGCAATGGTCTAGCCTGTGTGGTTCATGTTCAGTTGAGTTACCATGATTTACATCCTCCCAGATGCTCTGTTGGGCCGAGGAGTATGGGAGGCCTTATGGTTGGGGTTCAACCTTTTGAAAAGAAAAATGTGTAACAGCCTATAAGAAAATAAAATTAGGTCTTCGCTACTAACTATTGTTTTTGGCATACTAGGTCCAAATATTTTACCTTCCTTCTCAACTTGTGCTTTTTCTTTGAAGGCTTTCATGAATTATCTCCATATTCTTCCAAATCGAAAGAAGCCATTGCCAATCCTGCATGATGTCAGTGGAATCATCAAGCCTGCAAGGTAAACAAAACAAAACAAGAAAAGAAATAAATGGCATCTCATTTCTTTGGGGTTGAGTTTCTTATTACCAATGATTAATTTATTGGATTGTGCAGGATGACACTGCTGTTAGGTCCACCTAGTTCGGGTAAAACAACTTTGTTGCTAGCATTAGCAGGAAAACTGGATTCAGATCTAAAGGTATGGGAGCAGAGGTTAAATGGAGGCTCAAATCTCTATATTTGTAACTCGTCACTTAATCTAATACCACGGGCTAAAATCAAGCGCTTACCATTTAGGTCAAAAGTTATAGTCAAAAGCGAATACCTAATTTATTTCCTTATACATTACTATTACATTTTCGAGGCGCGGCTGAACTTAACTTTTTTAAGTCATTTACCAGCTTCCGTTAAACAATCTCAAATCATCTGATACTAGACTTGATCTTTACTCTAGAGATGGCAATTTGCCGAATTCCCTATGAGAATCCCCGATCCCCGGCTCGACAAGACAGAAATGGAGAAATTTTTCATAGGGATGGGGGACGGAAAATGTGTGTGATTTCACGTTAGGACGAGGACGGAGATACCCCTCCCCGTCCCGAATATATATATATATATATATATATATATATAGGAGTGATCACATGTGGCCATGTTGTTAGGTGTGGTCATATGGTCAATTATAGACCATTAGATTAGATAGATCTAATGAATCATATTAATCAAGATTTTTTCAGTATTTTCGCGCACATTCTCCTACTCAGCGAACTGTAAGGGTAAACTTGTCATAAAACACCGAAATACGAAAAATCACATTGTTGTGTGTTTTATTACACTATTGGTGCATGTTGTCAACACTGTTGGTGTATTCTGGAACCTGACCGCTATAAATGGCCACTGTAATTACCATAATACAGGAATACACCATTGGTGTGTTTCACTGTGGTGTGTTTTATTACACTATTGGTGTATGTTGTCAACACTGTTGGTGTATTCTGGAACCCGCCCGCTATAAATGGTCACTGTAATTACCATAACACCCCCACTTACTAAAACGCGCGAAAATCTTCAGAATTACCACTGCCTTTAGATTAAACTGATTCAACGGCACAGATACGACCACACCTAATGACATGACCACATATGAGCGTTTTCCTATATATATATATATATATATATATATATATATATATATATATATATATATATATATATATATTTATTTATTTATTTATTTATTTGTAGACTTAGTATTTTAATTTTTGAAACTAAGACTTAAATTTTACATTTTTTTATTATTAAAAATTACAATTATTTAACATTTGGCTAGGAGTCGATGAGAGTGGGGAATACTTGTCCCCGGAAAGAGGATAGGGAATATTTTTAATTTCTGACCGGGTACAAGGATAGGGAATATTTTTAATTTCTTGCCGGAGATGAGAATGGGGGACATGGTCACAAGGATGGGACGAAGAGTATACTTCCCGCCCCACCCAGCTGCCATCATATCCCTACTTTATTGGCTTCCGCCCAACAATATTCCTTGAATTTATGTATGCTAACTATTTGACCTCAGGTTAGTGGGAGAGTGACATACAATGGCCACGAAATGACTGAGTTTGTACCACGAAGAACATCTGCATATATTAATCAACATGATCTTCACATTGGTGAAATGACAGTGAGGGAAACTTTAGCTTTTTCTGCTAGATGCCAAGGAGTTGGGCACCGTTATGGTCGGTGAGCTAACCATGCTGAATTTGAAGGTTGTTTTTATTCTATTTTATGCCTGCATTATATTCCCTTATTTTATTGCTTTTACTATTTGGGAAACATGCAGAAATGCTGGCAGAGCTTTCCAGGAGAGAAAAGGAGCTAAACATTAAACCAGATCCTGATATTGATGTTTACATGAAGGTGTGGAAATCTTGAAAACCTAAAGTGCTGATAATTGGGTAAAATGTTTTGAGAAATGCTTAGTTCAATTCCCTGAGTGGTTTTATGCTCTACAGGCAATATCAATTGAAGGACAAGAAGCAAGTGTAGTGACAGATTATATTCTCAAGGTGAGGATGAACCAGGCCTAAATTTTTTAGGAGTTAATTCCATTTTTGGTCCTAGTTTTATATGTGACATTCTATTTTTAGTTTTTTTTTTTTTTTTTTTTTTTTTTTTTTTTTTTTTTTTAATATTCCTTGTTGGTCTAGTATTATTCTGGCATGACCATTTTTAGTCATCCGTCAATAAACTTATTTAAATGGCATTAAACATAAGGGTATTTCAGTCATTTTATATAAAGTGGGTTGACCCGCTAAACTTTTACTTTTATTGTTTTGGAAAAAAACCCTTAATTCATAGGTAGAGTCCCTTATCTTCTTCAATTGCAATCTGCGCCTCCGCAGCAGTGCCTCCACAACTTGAGCTTCCGCAACAGTGGAATGACTGTATAAATCTAAGACCAAAAAATGAATTAACACTTAGAACTGAATAGACTGCAATGCCCTCATATTTAACGCTATTTAAACATGTATGTTGACGGAGGACGAAAATCGATCATGCCACAATAATACTAGGACTAATAAGAGATGTTCTGAAAAAAAAAAAAAAAAAAGATTAAAAATGGAATGTCACCTATAAATATAAGACAAAAAATAGAATTAACTATTTTATTTTTAGTAGGGAAAAGAATGTAGATGCATTTACTGTTTTCTGCTTTAATATGTATCTGCAGATTTTGGGGCTTGAAGTCTGTGCTGATATTTTGGTTGGAGATGAAATGATTAGAGGGATTTCTGGGGGTCAGAGAAAAAGGTTAACAACAGGTTAGAGCAAAAGGAAGATTGCAGTAATAAAAATCTGTTTAATAAAAGTAGTATTCCTGTTTCTACTTGTTTTCACTCTAAAAATCTGAAGATAGATGACAGTAGGGCTGAATTCATCATAACTGATAAATTTAATTTAAAGCTTCTGAAAACTATAATCAAATGTGGTGCAGGGGAGATGCTGGTTGGACCTGCAAGAGCACTATTCATGGATGAGATATCAACTGGCTTAGACAGTTCAACCACTTTCCAGATTGTAAATTCAATAAGGCAATCCATCCACATTCTCCAGGGAACTGCTGTAATCTCACTCCTGCAGCCTGCACCCGAGACTTATGAGTTATTCGACGACATAATTCTTCTGTCTGACGGGCAAGTTGTGTACCAAGGACCTCGAGATAACGTGCTAGAATTCTTCCAACACATGGGCTTCAAATGCCCGGAGAGAAAAGGAGTAGCAGACTTCTTGCAAGAAGTAAGCTTATCACAAAAAAAAATGGGTTTTTTTTTTTTTTTTACTCCTTTTATTGTTGACTAATTTGTGTTGTTATAGGTGACGTCGAGGAAAGATCAAGAGCAGTACTGGATGCGTAGAGAGGAAGCATACGAGTTCATCACTGTCGGGGAATTCTCTGAAGCATTTCAGTCATTTCATGTTGGGAAGAAACTAGGCGACGAGCTAGCTGTTCCTTTTGACAAATCCAAGAGCCACCCTGCAGCTCTTTCGAACAAGAAGTATGGCGTTAACAAGAAGGAGCTCTTGAAAGCCTGTGCGTCTCGAGAATTCCTGCTTATGAAGAGGAACTCTTTCGTCTACATATTCAAGATGATTCAAGTGAGCTACATACTATACATGTCATATATGATATACTTCCCTTGACACTTCATAGTTGTTACTAAATTGCCAATTTTGTGGTGTTCCAGCTAGTTCTAATGGCGTTCGTGGCAATGACAGTGTTCCTACGAACCGAGATGCCAAAGAATTCGATAGCAGATGGTACTGTTTTCATGGGAGCTTTGTTTTTCGCAGTGATTATGACAATGTTCAATGGGTTCTCAGAGCTTGCCCTTAGTATCTTGAAACTCCCCGCTTTTTACAAGCAACGCGACCTGTTCTTCTTTCCACCGTGGGCATATGCTTTGCCTACTTGGATCCTTAAAATCCCTGTCACACTTGTGGAAGTTGCTATATGGGTCTGTATGACATATTACGCCATTGGATTCGACCCAGACGCTGGAAGGTAACGACTAATAACATCAATCCATTCCTATCAGCAAAGATAATGGAAATTTCTTTCAGATCATCTGATCAAGATTGATAATGGCAGGTTTTTCAAGCAGTTGTTCCTCCTTATATGTGTGAACCAGATGGCTTCAGCGTTGTTTCGCTTAACAGCAGCAGCCGGGAGAAGTGTAATAGTTGCAAACACATTTGGTTCATGTGCAATGATTTTGGTTCTAGTGCTTGGTGGATTCATTTTGTCCCGAGGTAGATAAAGGACAACTTCAACTCATCTGGTTGTGCTCTTCCAATTTCCAAATGTTCTTCGGTGATAAGAGTTTTGATGTTTCTGTGACAGATGATGTGAAGAAGTGGTGGATATGGGGATACTGGATCTCACCTCTCATGTATGCACAAAATGCTATATCGGTGAACGAATATCTTGGAAAGAGTTGGAGACATGTAAGTACGAGGAAGAATGTTAGAATCAAGCGCTTATCACTACGCCAAAAGCTATAACTAGTAGCAAAGGCGCAACTTTATTTCATTATATCGTTGTCACCTGATGCTAGACTAGACACTATACTTGTGACCTGGCCCTATAAGACACTGTACCTGTGACCTGACTCTGATACCACTTGTTAGATAAAACGCTTACTACTATTTCCTTATACCGTCACACATTTCTCCTAGTCACCGGGTGCAAGACTTGCCCCTTTAAGCTCTTTACCGACCTCTCCCTACAATAATCCTCCAGCCATCAGGTGCTAGACTTGACTTTTACGGGCTTAATTCTACCCAACACAAATGTTTTTCTAACATGACAAAAAGTCTGCATATTTGTTTGCAGGTTCCTTCTGGCACCTCAGAGACACTAGGAGTAACAGTGTTGAGATCTCGTGGCATTTTTCCTGAAGCGCATTGGTATTGGATTGGAGTAGGAGCTCTTGTAGGTTATGTGTTTCTACTCAATTTCCTATTCTGCTTGGCCCTCACTTATCTCAACCGTAAGCACATATAGCTAATAAGTTCACCAAATAAGTTCTTTTCCTCTATGATGATTGAGAAACTGAGTAAATTGGGCATTTTTATGCAGCTTTGGGGAAACCTCAAGCAATGTTATCAGAAGAGACATTGGCAGAGAGGAATGCTTGCAAAAGAGGGGAGCCTATTGAATTAGAGCTAAAAGGAGGAAGCACTTCTGGTGGGTTTGAACTTTGAACTCATAGTCTCACTCTGGTTTACTTAATTCTCAGGGATTGGAAATTCATGGTTTTAGTGGATAATATGCAGAGAAAGGAAATGTTGTCAGGAGAAGTGTATCTTCCAGGTCATTGTCATCAAGAGTTGGGAGTGTCAACGTGGCCGATCCGAACATGAAAAGAGGAATGGTTCTTCCTTTTGAACCCCTTTGTATAACTTTTGATGAAATCAAATATGCAGTAGATATGCCCACGGTAAATCTCAAATCACATAATTCGCTACTAGCTATAGCTTTTTGCATAATAGTAAGCGCTTAATGTTAATAAATGGTATGAGAGCCAAGTCACCTGTTCAAGTCTGTTGTTGGGCGGAGGCCGATAAAGGGCTTACAAGTCCAAAAACACCCTATTAGCTACACCTTTTGGTGTAGTGGCAGGGTTGTTGGGCGGAGGCCAGTAAAGCCTTTAAAAGGCCAAGTCCGGCATAGCACCCTTATTAGCTACACCTTTTGGTGTAGTGGTAGGATTGTTAGACGGAGGCAAGTATAGGGCTTAAAAGGCCAAGTCTAGCACAACACCCCTATTAGCTATACCTTTTGGTTAAGTGGTAGGATTGTTGGGACGAGGCCAGTAAAGGACTTCAAAGGCTAAATTTTTTGGCATAGTGGTAAGCCCTTGATCCTAACAGTGTTGAAACTGATTGCTTGGTTACCTGTACCTTCAGGAAATGAAAGCTCAAGGTCTTACTGAAGATAGGCTGGTACTTCTAAAAGGGATAAATGGTGCTTTCAGACCAGGAGTTCTGACTGCTCTAATGGGCATAAGTGGGGCTGGTAAAACCACATTGATGGATGTCTTAGCCGGTAGGAAAACCGGTGGATATATAGAAGGAAGCATCACTATATCGGGATATCCAAAGAGGCAAGAAACGTTTGCCCGAATAGCAGGCTATTGCGAGCAAACAGACATCCATTCACCTCATGTAACTGTATATGAATCTTTGGTGTATTCTGCCTGGCTTCGTTTACCTCCCGAAATCGACACTGCAACCCGAGAGGTGGAATTTAGTAGCTTATATATTACTTAGCTTCTTCTATGGTTTTAGGAAATATTAGATGTTTAAGATAAACTAAAAGCGAATAAATTGTTTAATCTGCAGATGTTCGTTGAAGAGGTAATGGACCTTGTGGAGCTCACCTCATTGAGAGAAGCACTTGTTGGGTTGCCCGGAGTTAATGGTCTCTCGACTGAGCAGCGAAAGCGGCTCACAATTGCTGTCGAGCTTGTGGCTAACCCATCGATAATATTTATGGACGAGCCGACCTCAGGGCTAGATGCTAGAGCTGCTGCAATAGTGATGAGAACAGTGAGGAACACAGTGGATACAGGTAGAACTGTGGTATGCACCATCCATCAGCCCAGCATCGACATATTTGATGCTTTTGATGAGGTGAGTGTGGTAGCTTTTGATCTCGTGTTTCGAAACAATCCCGGGGCTTAGGAAGCCCGGTGAAATAATACTGCTAAAAATGACTATACCTGCAGCTACTGCTCCTGAAACGAGGCGGGGAAGAGATCTATGTAGGTCCGTTAGGCCGCCATTCTTCTCAACTCATTAGGTATTTCGAGGTTAGTAAGATTGATACGATTCTCTGCTGTTTAGCTCACTCTGTTACAATGTAGTATCTGTTCATAACTATTTTCTCAACCTACTGAAGCACTAAGCACTAAGAGTCAATACTGGCGTCATAACTACTTTTTCAACCTACTGAAGCACAAAGAGTCAATACTGCCCCCACCGGGGACCGAACCCATAACCTCAAATTTAGAAGAGCCAGTTCGTGTCACTAGGCCATAAGGTCATTGGCATCGAGGATTGTATTCATGCTTTCTGTTTTGTCTCAGACAATCAATGGAATCCAGAGAATTAGAGATGGCTATAACCCTGCAACTTGGATGTTGGAGATCACTTCTGAAGCACAAGAAGCAGCTCTTGGCATTGATTTTGCAGAAGTTTATAGGAACTCAGAACTGTACAGGTATCAAAACTGTGAATAAAACAACTGTGCTTATAGCTTTCAAGATCAGGAAACTGAATTGATTCAATTTTCAGGCGAAATAAAGCATTAATCCAAGAACTAAGTAAACCTGCCCCAGGTTCAAAAGATCTATACTTTCCCACCAAGTATTCTCAGTCATTCTTTACCCAGTGCATGGCTTGCCTGTGGAAACAGCATTGGTCATACTGGAGAAATCCTCCATATACAGCAGTCAGACTTCTGTTCACAACATTTAATGCTCTATTATTTGGAACAATGTTTTGGGGTATTGGCCCAAAAAGGTGAGTTAAATCACATAAAATTTGTATGCATGTAATACATAGAGAAACCAAACTAACATGGATACTGTTAGGATCAAACACTTACCACTATCCAAAAATTATAGTTCAATCGGCCTTCGCCCAACAATTACCTCTCCCAGTCACCGCGTCAAAAGTTATAGTTTGTGGCCAAGGCGTAACTTTATTTAATTTCCTTATACTGCCACGTTTTCGAGAGGGAAGGTGCTGGACTTGCCCTTCACCGGCCTCCGTCCAACAATCCCCATAGCCATCAGTTGTAGGACTTGGCACTTTATCAATCTCTGCCCAACAATTTCCCTAGCTACCAATTGTTGGATTTAATCCTTTACTGGCCTTCGCCCAACAATTCTCCCTCCTAGCACCTGCAAGTTTTAATTGTTTTTGCTCTTACTTAACTCGAACCCATGACAACTTTATTTCATTATTTATGACCACACGTTTTCGAAAGGCAGGGTGTTGTACTTAACCCTTTACTGGACTTCGTCTAACAATCCCTTAATCACCAATTGCTAGATTTGGCTCTTCACCGGCCTCCGCCTAACAATTCCCTCTCACAGCACTTGTCAACCTTAATTGCACAGTTTTTACGCCAAAAACTATAGCTCGTAGCGAAGACGCAACTTTATTTTCTTATATACCGCCAGATTTTGAGAGGCAGGATGTTGAACTTGACCATTCACTGGCTTCCATCCAACAGTCCCCCTAGCCACCAATCGTTGGACTTAGCCCTTTTCCGGCCTCCACCCAACACATACATATCTTTTAATTTGTTAAAACATCTTGTGACAGACCACTGTTCTGATCTTGGTTTTTTTCATTTGATTTCAGGAGAACACAACAAGATCTATTTAACGCGATGGGTTGTATGTATGCTGCGGTTGTGTTTTTGGGTGTGCAAAATGCTACTTCAGTGCAGCCAGTAGTTGCCATCGAGAGGACAGTGTTCTATAGAGAAAGGGCAGCTGGGATGTATTCAGCTCTACCATATGCTTTTGGCCAGGCACAAACATCAACTTATTACTCCCTTTCATTTCATTTTGTTTCTACTTAAAGATTTCAAACCATATATCCTATCTTTCTTATATATATATATATATATGATTCTGCAGGTTGTGATTGAGCTCCCACACCTATTCGTTCAAACACTCATCTATGGTGTAATAGTGTATGCCATGATTGGGTTCGAGTGGACAGCAGCCAAGTTCTTGTGGTTTATATTCTTCATGTACTTCACTTTGCTATACTTCACACTGTATGGGATGATGACAGTTGCAGTTACTCCTAACCACAATATTGCTGCCATTATTTCCTCTGCATTCTATGGGTTTTGGAATCTCTTCTCCGGATTCATCATTCCAAAAACAGTAAGTTTTCACTAAGAGTGAGTTTTTTCCCACTTTTGGTCTTATGATTTTGGAATCTCCGTCAACTTGGGTTCATAACTTTCATTTCCAACATAAATAGTACAGTGCTCCATTTTTTTTTATTTAGTTCTTCCGATGACATGATCGATGAAAACTCACGGAAGTACAATTTCTCAATCAAATTGAGAAGTTAACCCTAAGATGGAATTCTTCCACTTTGTCGGTTAACTTCTCGGTTTGACCGAGAAGTGGTACTTCGGGTAAGTTTTACCACTTCTCAGTCATTCTTGACATAAATACCACTTCTCGGTCAAACCGATGAGTTAATAGTAAAGTGGAATTCTTCCACTTTGTCAGTTAACTTCTTGGTTTGACGGAGAAGTGGTACTTCCGGTGCGTTTTACAACTTCTCGGTCATTCGATCTCGACATAATATAAATACCACTTCTCAGTCAAATCGAGGAGTTAACACTAAAGTGGAATTTTTCCACCTTGTCAGTTAACTTCTCAGTTTGACCGAGAAGTGGTACCTTCCAGTGAGTTTTTCCACTTCTCGGTCATTCTAAACATAAATATCACTTCTTGATCAAACCGACGAGTTAACATAAAGTGGAATTCTTCCACCTTGTCAGTTAACTTCTCGGCTTCACCGAGAAGTGGTACTTCCGGTAAGTTTTCATCGGTCATGTCATCGAAAGGGTCAAATATGAAAAAAAAATCAAACTGAAGCACTATTTATGCCGAGAATGAAAATTGTGAACCCAAGTTAACGAGACTCTAAAGCCATATAACCAAAAGTATAAATTAAAAAACTTTCTGCACTAATTACCATTTACCAAACTCTCTCTTCACACTATGATCTAAATGGTTTTGTTCTTTGATGACAGAGAATACCGGTGTGGTGGAGATGGTACTACTACATCTGCCCGGTATCCTGGACACTGTATGGACTGATTGCTTCACAGTTCGGAGATGTTAAGGAAAAGCTTGACACAAATGAAACTGTGAAGGACTTCGTGAAAAGCTTCTTCGATTTTGACCATGATTTTGTTGGATATGTTGCCACCATTATTGTTGGAATCTGTGTCATGTTTGGCTTCATTTTCGCCTTCTCAATAAAAGCTTTCAACTTCCAGACACGGTAGACTTTTAGAATGGCAAAGGACTTGCGTTTGGTTGTAACGAGGAAGATAATTGTAATATTTATTTTTTTGAAAACAAGATAATTGTAATATAATCCTATGGAAAAGGAACAATGGGGAGATGGAGTAAATAGGGATTCACTATTGTTTACTTGGTGGGAATAAAATTATTACAAATATCTATACAACTATACAAGTGTTTGGTTTAAATAAGAATTAAAAGAGAATAAGTAATATAAATATCAAAATGTTTATGTATAATAATAAAAATAATAGTATAACAAATTAAAACGAAATACATTTAATAATAATTGTCGGGGGTGGTACTGGTGTTTAGGCGATCGACCCGAGGTGGCCGGTTGGTTGGAGGTCGGGGAATTGCTCGGATCACTAGCCCCCAAATTGGACACTGGGATGGTGATGCTAAGAAGGCTTGGAGGGGTGTATAAAAGGAGTGGAACCTACGGGATTTGGAAGGTTAATAACAAGTTTGTGCTGATTGAGATGCCATTGGGATGTCATGTGTATTTTTTTATTTTACATTTTATTATTATTATTATTATTTTCCTACTAAGCATTTGACCACAAAAAAAATTATTATTCTTATTATTCTCCTACTAAGCATTTGACCCAAAAAAAAAAAAAAAAAAAATCTAACCCCAAATAGCCAAAACACTCGTCTCAATTGGGAAAAGTAACAAATAAACCAAACCCAATTACTAAAGTAACCAAAAATCCAAAGATTCGAGTGTTACACAAGTGAGCAACTATTTCAAAAAATTCGAACCTCAAAAAAAAAAATGATAGAAGGAATAAAAAAACCAAGTTTTAGTCTATTGAGGAACTGCTTTAAAACAGAAAAGGAGTCTAACAGTAGTTAAGAATAAGTGGAAAATCCCAAACAATCTACATTTTTTTTTAAATTTTTGTAAGGTCAAATACTTAGTAAGATAATAATAATAATAAAATATAAAATTAAAAAATATACGTAGCATTCTAATGGGCGTTATGCTGTGCATCCGTATGTACCATTCTTGGTGCATACGGATGCACATGACGTCGTTTGGAGTAACAGTGCCGTTAGTGGCACCGTTTCACTCCACCAATCAATTTTTTTTTTTTTAATACAAAAGCTTATTGGATCGTTTCCTCTCCCACTCCATTTCACTTCCCTCCACCAGAGCACTTTCTTCTCCCACACGATTCCCTCCCCAAAAGCTTCGATCATCTCCATTTCCTTAGCTTTTCTTCAACATTTTCGTGGTTTCGCACACATTCATCATCACCATTGTCGCCGGCCTCCGATCATCACACATTCATCAGCACTTCCTCTCTAAAGCAGAGCTCAGCTTCTTCATAGAATAGGTATTATGCATTTTACGTTGTTACATGATTCATTTATACAAAATAAGCATTCATTTTCAGTATATGTTTATGTAATTTTAAACTAGGGTTTTGCACTGTTTAAAAATTGTATGAATGTATAGTTATATGATTATGAATGTGTATGATTATGATTATGAGTTTATGAGTATATTTGTGAGTTTATGGATATGTAGTTGTAAAATTCTGGAAGTATAGTTGTGCGTTTATGGAATTGTATTTATACAGTTTATGGATGTAGTACTCTGTGAACCTTACTCTGTGCACCAAACTGCATTCAAGTCTTTTTAGCATAATTTGCCTTGTGGGTATATTTATGAGTTTATGGATATGTAGTTATACAATTCTGGAAGTATAGTTGTGTGTTTATGGAATTGTATTTATACAAATTGGGATATATTACTCTGTACACCTTACTCTGTCCACCAAACTGCATTCAATTCTTTTTAGCATGATTTTGCCTTGTGGGTAGAGTTATGAGTTTATGGATATGTAGTTATACAATTCTGGAAGTGTAGCTGTGTGTTTATGGAATTATATTTATACAAATTTGGATATAGTACTCTGTGAACCTTACTCTGTGCACCAAACTGCATTCAAGACTTTTTAACAAAACTTTGTATGATTTTTATTTGCAGAAATGGAAGACTCAAATGTGAGAGATGATTCTACACTTGGGCAATTCGTCAATTCAGTGAAGAGGAGAAAAACCAGAGCGGTATTGAGCTCGCAGGCTGCTCAGCTCACCCCTGCACAAGAAGATTCTGCAGAGCCTTTCACAAGGCAACAACCAGAAGCTGCCAAAAGAAAGAGGGCAAAACGAGAGCAAGTACATAACCCTGACGCGGATTACTTCAGCACACGGATGGGTCCCAAACAAATGTTTGAACTTGTCCAACGCCTATCACAGGATCAGAAGGATGCTGTTGTTGATATGGGTTTTGGAGGGCTGCTACATCTGCAATTCTCAAGCAATTATTCACAACTCGTTGAGTATCTTCTGAAAAGATTTGATGTTTTCAAGTCAGACTTTATATTGGAAGGTGATATTCTGCATGTTAGTGAAGAGGATGTTGAATACACGTTGGGGATCCCCCGAGGAAAGAGGGATGTTGAGGAGGGGACAAAATCTGAGGAAAATTCTACAGCTGCATATAATAAGCTCCTAACTGATTGGAGGAAGAGGTGGAATGTCAAGGCAGGGTCACCCATAACAACCAAGATGCCTGATGAGATAATCAGAAGAGGTGACCATGGTGATGCCTTCAAAAGAGACTTTGTGGTGTTTGCTGTTTCCTCTCTGCTCCGAGGAAACACTGGAAGATATGCCAACTACCGAGTTCTTAAGTCACTGCTCAACTTCCGCGCAATTTCAAGACTGAATTGGTGCCGATACACATACAGGTCTTTCATTGATGCATATGAGCTTTACAAAGACAGTCTTACAAGATCTTTTGGAGGTCCAATGGTATTCATCCTGGTAAGATCCCATTATACATAAACTGTTCTTAATTATGGAATTATAGTTATGCAATTATGTAATTTTAATTATGCAATTCTGGATGTGTGGTTAAGCACTTATGGATGTGTGGTTTTGTAGTTATGGAATTGTAGTTTTGCAATTATGGAATTATGGTTATGCAATTATGGAATTATAGTTATGCAATTATGTAATTATAATTATGCAATTCTGGATGTGTGGTTATGCACTTATGGATGTGTGGTTTTGTAGTTATGGAATTGTAGTTTTGCAATTATGGAATTATGGTTATGCAAATTATGGAATTATAGTTATGCAATTCTGGATGTGTAGTTTTAGAATTATGGAATTATAGTTATGCAAATAAGGATGTGTAGTCATGCAATTCTGAATATGTAGTTGTGCAATTATGGAATTATAGATATCCAATCATGCGTGTGTAAATATGCAATTCTGGATGTGTAGTTATTCAATTCTTTAACGTGCTCTTCTGTCATTTTTGAAGTTGTTCTACTTTGACCGGGTAGAGTTCGAAGGCATGGCTGCCAACCGAACATTCCCGGCAATCAAAGCTTGGACAAAAATACTTGTACGAAAGCGAGTATCAGATGAGATAAAATCAGGGGGTTTTGGTAAGGGGAAAGTTATCCCTCGATTTCAGAGGCCTACCACCATTGCAACAACGTCAGCATCCCGACCTGCACCTCCTCCTGCTGCAATACCTAGACCAGTACGCAGCCCTGTTGCTACACCATCTGTTCCAACTCCATCTGCGCCCCTGTCTAATGTTGACAGAGTAACAAATGTGCTTCAGAGGCTTACAACAGATGTCCTTGAATTCGGTCAAGTCATGTTTGACATTGGCAAGCAAGGGGCCCTGGTTGAGATCATGAAGAGGGCTTTTTCAAGAATATCAACAATGCTGAGTGCTGCAAGCACAATTCAACCGACTTCTAGCCCAACTGCCTCGCAGTTGGATGACATCTTCTTTGGAAGTGAAAGCTTCACAACAGCAGTTGATTCTCTGGTGGAGGCCTTTGAAAAAACCAGAAAAGAAATGGAACTAGAACCCCCATCATTTGAGCTACTTGGATGCTCTACACCAACCCCACCACCATCTCAACAGCAACCTTTGGACACCCTAGTGGAGAACATTGTGAGGAGTGCAGGAGTATCAACCTCAACGGAGAAGGAAGCAACTCCATCGCTAATTAGAGTTCCATTTGAAAAATCCACCACTCCTACTACACCTGCTGCCCAAGCTGCTACTAAAATTGATGAATTTGATAAGTAGGTTATTGCTTTCTTATGTAGATTTAAACTATGAATATGATTTTCAATTGGTCAATAATTATGAATATTAAGTTTGATTATTATGAATATGTTCTTATTCAACTATTGACATTGATTGTTACAATTATGGATATGTAGTTCTCAAATTATGGACATATAGTTTACAGATTATGGAAATTTAGTTATACAATTCTAGATTATGGACATATAGTTTACAGATTATGGAAATTTAGTTATACAGTTCTGGATCTATACTTGTGAAGTTATGAACTGCCTATGTTTTTTGTAAACAACAGAGCTATGGAAGAAAGTGAATAAGATGTTGAAGATGTCACTGTGAGGAAAAGACCTGTGCGTAAATTCAGAAACATCCCACTTTATTTGAGGTCGCCGTACTGGACGAAGAACAAAGGCTCCATCCATAATGCAACTCCCAAAGAAAAAGTTGTTTCAAACTACGCATTTTGGAAGCCTCAAATGAGCACCCGGGAGGGTATGTTTCCATCCACATATTTTACATGAATTTTATTTATTAATTTATGTTCTTTTATTTACTTATTTTTTGTGTTGTAGAGAGACATTGTTCCAATACGGTGACTACTACTTGTCAAGGGATGATTTTGCCACTTTGTGCAATGGTGAGCTACTGAGCAGCTTCTTAGATGTCTGGTCCCTACGTTTTACATTGCTAAACACGTCCCGTGCAGTTGGGGAGACAAAGCGCGTCTACTTCTCCACCCTAGTACATGTAAGTGTTCTCAAATTATGAGTATATAGTTTTCAGATTATGGATGTGTAGTTATTCAATTCTGGATGTGTACCTGTGAACCCCTGATTTTATAGTTTTGTAATTCTAAAATTATAGTTATGCAATTATGGAACTATAGTTATGCAATTCTGGAAGTGTAGTTATATAGTTCTGTTTGTATAACTTTAACATTTTCAACGAATATTATATGAATTATGAATACTCATTCCTGCATTTGTATATACAGCTGCAGATTGATCCCAATGACCAGTGGA